CACTGGAACAGGTTGCCAAGAGAGGTGGCAGATGCTCCATCCTTGGAAACATTCAAGGTCAGACTTAACGGGGCTCTGAGTAATTTGATCTAGTTGAAGATGTCCCTGCTCACTGCAGCGGGGTTGAATTAGATGGCCTTTAAAGGTCCCTTCCAATCAAAACTGTTCTACAATTCTAAGACCTATGCTGCGATTCTAAGAATCTTTATGGATATAGAGAAAAGACTGCCAGCCAGGCTGTCAACCATTTACTGCACACACTTAGGCTACAGCTATTATGTCTAAAATTTAAAAAAAACAAAAACCAGGACAGCTAATCAAAAAGCTTATAGCAATCACAAATTGTCTGATGTGCATATCGACAGGGAGCCTTTAACTACAACTTGAAACCTACAGCTGTGTTCTACGTTATTGAAGTAACCAACGCCATTCATTCAACTGTAACTATCAGTATTTAGAGGTAAAAGTAAAATCTTATATTAGTCTCAAAAGATAAGAATCCTATAAAAAAAAAATGCAAGCATATACAATTCAGTGCACTCAACTTCACATTCTCTCTTCTTCAATAATCACAGGCACTTGATCTTACACACAGCCAGAAAGGATACGATGTTCTGCTATTTTCGCCATGAGGTCATCATTATCAAAAAGTAGTAAGCAGATGACAGCTATGATGAAAAATGCAGCACCTCTTGTCTGTAAAACAAGAAAACCAAAAAAAACACTCCTCACATTTTTATATATAATGTGCTGTAACAGATTAATGTCATAAAATACAGGAAACTAGTCTTTTCCCTCTCCCCTTTTAAAGTGACCTTGCCAATATAATTTTATATTTATTCCGTTTTTCAGATTTACCAGACAACTCCGGGCTGATCACCACTGAAACAAACAAGATGCCTGTATCTTACAAACTTCAAGCATGATTGCTTCATGGTCTGTTTCTGTCTGCCAGAATATACAGCTACTTAAGCCTAATGATTTAATATTTTGTGGCATGAAGGAGCTATAAACAAGATTCAGGGGACAAACTGTAAAATTTTTTCTTAGGCGATGTAAAGGCTAGAGCACTGTGCAAAGAAAGCAGAACTCTGCAATGTTTTTGTGGGGAAGGGATAGAGGCAGCTATGAAATCCCAGCCCCTAGAAATTTCACCACCCTGACTTAAGACATTGCAATTTTGGTACTCATCTTCTCGGCAAGACACTGAGCTCTACAGCTAAAACATGCGTTTATAATTTATCTCCTGAAATCAAATATAGTTACCACATTCCTGTTTAGGAAAGTCAGCAGACTTCTCTTTGTCACAGATCACTTCATAAGGCTGAAGCACTCAGAGGAGAGGGTTATCACTCCCTTCTTTCTGCTGCCTTAGATATGCAGGTTACCTGCCAAGCGTGGCCCACTAAGATACAGATTGACAAAGAAACTTTCTGAAATGCTACATCTAGTCTTCAGGTGGTTGGCTTGAGAAAAAAAAAAAAAAGTCTTCTAGATGACAAGCGTCATGCTGGATGCCCCAAGCATCTCAATTTGAGGGGACAGGCACAGAGTGTCAGAGCAGACGACTGTGCTATTCACTCCAAGGCCAGCCTAAATTTGATGAGCGGACTCCAGCAGCAGTTATGAGACAGAGATTTGAAACTCTCAGCCTGAGATGGCACCAGAGCCAGACTTTCTCTTACACAGCAAGTACTCTGCCCTCAGGTATATGACATCATAAGATATCTTCCTCCAGATATCAATGTTTCTGAGTGAAAGTGGCCAAGACTGCTAGGCGCTAGGATGAGCTCATTCCACTTAGGGCTGATTAGGCCCTAAATCAGAGAACACCCTGCAAACCTGTGTGTAATAGGACTCAGAAAAACGATGTCTCAAGCAGAGAGCTCCGACTAAGTGAAAGACTGGGTCCAGGTACTCAGCTCATACAGGCTCATACACACATTTAAAGTACTTAGAGAACTTTCTGCAGAAAAAACAATTTGAAAAAAAATCCTCAGGTATCTGCCATAAGTCTCCAACAGCTTCACCCACAGTTTCTCTCTTAATGTCGTGTTTATTGTTTCTAGCAGTAAATCTTGTAATTTCACCATTAATTAAACTATGTTTCTATGAACATAGGTCAGAAACACTGCTATGTGTGAAGAAGTACTTGAATTCATAGCATTCAGTATATTTACATTTGGTAAAATAAATTTTTAAATACCTTTGCTGGTCCTCCACCTGAGCTTGTGAACAAGACACTAAGGAGTGACAGCACAACCACATCGCTGTGCTCAAACAGCAATAACGTCCTATAAAAAAGTGAAACAAACACTTGTATCCACTTACAAGGAGTTTACATCACAAGCTTGACACATACTATTTCAGCTAAATTTCAATGACACAGAAGCCAAAGATTTATCCTGTCATTTCAACAGCAAGTTTAAACAATACAAAAGGATAAATGCAAATCTGTTTGCCTTCATTGGCAAAAGATCTAGCTTCAGACAGCTACGTATATCACTAACCAAAAACTTCCTAATAAAAGTATCAAATTAAAATTATTCATTTATAGATTACTTTACACGGCACTTTTTTTTCTAGTAAAATAGGATACTAACTTGCTCAGGATGGATTTATTATTCCCATTATACAATACTTCCTCTAAACTAGTTTCTGGCTCCAAGAAAAAAAGAGGTCCTGCGAGATTATGCAATCTCAGAACCTCTTAACTGCTGAAAATAAGAAATTCTAACTTGCACACTGTCTCTCCTTTAGAAAGCAAAGGCTGACTAACAAAGCTTTATTGATAGCTTTCCAGAGCAGAACACGAAAGTAGTAATTGCAGCCAAGTTTACAAAACGCTTCTGCCATCTTCCACATAGTGACACACCCTGACCGGGCCCATGCTACCGGTTCTGTTTGGGAAGAGTGCCAACAACCAGAAAGGCTACTATCCCCTCCTGTATAGAGGATAAAACTTCACCTTCATAAAGTGTGTCATTTAAGGCTTTACTTTCCTCTGATGAAAGACACTTTCTAACACATTATCCTTCACTTTTGGAAATATAATGTTATTCTTTTAGAGTGGTATGGTCAGTACTGCTAACTAACAGCACAAGTGATTTTACGTGGTGTACAAGCACTGATGCCACCCAACTCCGACACAGCACAAGCACATGACCATGTAAAGCAGTGCCCTGCAACAAATGCAGAAATTGATTCTAGTCACCTGGAACAGAAATACAAGCTATTATCACTACCTGTCAAACAATGGTCTTCAAAAAATTAAATAAACAATTTGAATTACGTTAATGAGAACAGGGAAATGATGAAAACCACAGTCAGTACAATGATCAGCAATCTTGTATCACTCACATTAGTAGTTTAAGCACTATCAAGAATTTCACTGGCATGTTGTCAAAGAATGAATGAAGAAAATTACAAGTTCTACATAAAATTATACATAGCTTTTCCCAAGCACAACAGAGGTCACAGGAGAAAGCATAAAGACCCATCTAAAATTTAAAAAAATAAAGCAAAAGCCTGGCATCGTGGGCTAACAGATACGAAAGGAGCAAGACAGGGAAAGTTCACAAAAATTAGCTTAGGAAAATATTCTTTACAGTAAATATATACTTACCTCAGTGGTCCACAAAGAGTAAGGCCAAAAAACCACAATAGTGAAATGATACATCCCACAACAGCATGCTTAAAAATTTTGATCCACTGCAAAAGAAAGGTATTTCACTGTTGTTTTCTCCAGTTTCAAAACAAACACCCACTATTAGCATTCTTTTAGCACGGTAGCTGTAGAAATCGAGGGGAAAATATATGCTCTGTAAGTTTTGCAAAATTTAGAGTATGATTATCTCAACTATCTTGACAAGCAACAATTTTTTTTTTGACATATTATGAACCAGCATTATTTCCTTTCTATCACAGTACTAGATTCCATAGTATAGTGTGAGAACCCTTTAACAAAAAACTTGAAAACAAATGCCGAAAAAAAATTCAAGTCCATTTACTTGTCAAAAACGCTGTTAATTTTGTAGTCTCTTGTATATATCTGATAAATGTACACAGAACTGGATGAAACATCCAAGATAAAAAGACTACGACTTTAAGCCTAGAACTATTTACGCATGTGTCGAATTCTTTCTTCAGGAAGCAGGTTATAATCAAGCTATTCAATACCTTAACTGTAAATACAAGTTTTTGACGACAAGTAATTAATTTTGGAAATAAGTTATAGAAGATGAAGTGCCTATGACAAATATTACATCTTCAAAATCCAGAATTTAAGAATTTTTGGTGATATCAAAACCATAAACAGACAGATTTTTCTGATCATAAATTAAAGATGCAATTTATTCCTGTTTGCACTTTAAAATTCTGCCATACATGTCTGATCAGGAAATCAGCTGACATTTGAAAAACTTTTGAGGCTATCGTTCAGATTCTCTCTACTTAGCACATATACTGATGACGTTATGCATGGATCAAGCTTTTGTGTACACAACTACATAAACCCAAGATGAATATGGAACAGGTGAAATAAAAATATTTCTCAAAAAACAGCAGGTTCCAGCCTGGCCCTACTCTCACATCTTGAGATACTGGGAACTCAGCACAGGTCTGAAGAGCACAGACTAGCCCCTCATCACACCGCACTATGCAGAACCACTCTGTTGGCATGGAGGACATCACTTTTGCATTCTGTCTCTCCAGAAACTGCCCTTCAAAACCACTGAAGTAAGTTAAGTACACTAAGCTGTTCTAGAAAAGTCAATCCTCAGAATAGATGCTTATACAGAGCCAAGGATCAATCTTTTCATAATACTCTCAAAAGGAGTTAACAGAAGCTAAAAATGCTGATTTTTTTTTAGAGTGCATTGCAGCACATAGTTAGCTACATGCTTCTGAAAATTGCAACCACATCTTCCAAGTGGATTAAGATTTGTTCTGCTTTTATTTTACTACAAAGATGTGCATGATAGCTACACACGTCAACTCACCTGACGCTTAGTTACCACTTTACCAGAAGAAAATGGTTTTTGAAACAAAACCATAAAAAATGCAGACCTGTTAAAAGAAGAAAGTTTTCTCTATTAGTGTATTAGCAGTCTGCTGTTTTACTCAAACCAGCTTGAAATAACTAGGTCTCTCATATTAGGCTCAGCTGACATAACATCTCCCTCTACATTTTTCGTCAAAAGGCCGCACTGACCACACTCACTGGTTTTATTTTCCCCCCTGCATTACAGGTGTTAGATACCAGTACGCAGACAATGACAAGCATACTTCAGTTATGGCAAATTTTAAATGCAAGTTCTTTGCAGAACGGCTAATAAGAAGTCTATCTGTGATTCACAAAAATCAAAGTAACTTATCTTAGATGTTTTAAGTATAAATAAAACCATATTTTTTATTAGCAAGATACATACACCCAAAGGCTTATTCATATACAGAATGCTGAACGCACAGTCTTGTTAGAAATGGTAAGATGACTTCCTCAACCATGATCAAGAGCAAATGATAGGAAAAAAAGCGCATGGGAACATGCAAGTGAGAAGACCAGAAATGTAAACAAAATTGACTAAGAGAGAAAAATGAGATTCTAAATGTTTCACCTCTGTCAAGTTTGTTAAATAAATGCTCTTTCACACTGAGGCAGGACTGTGTCTGAAAAGTTTGCTTCTCTATATTTGCTATCAGTTTCTACACTTTGACTCTCAGGGGAAAATAGCAGCTGAAGCTCACAAGAACTACAGGAACTACAAGAAAGCTTGTCACAGAATCATAGAACAGTTCTCGTTAGAAGAGACCTTCAAAATCATGGAGCCCAACCTTTGTCCTAGCCATATCAACATCACTAAAGCAGGTCCCTCAGTACAACATCTGCCCATCTCTTAAACACCTCCAGGGACAGTGACTCAACCACCTCCCTGGGCAGCCTGTTCCAAGGCCCGACAAGCCTCTGAGTAAAGAAATTCTTCCGAATGTCCAACCTGACCCTCCCCTGGCACAACTTAGGGCCATTTCCTCTTGTCCTATCACTCACCACTAGGGAGAACAGACCAACCCCAGTCTCACTACAACCTCCCTTCAGGTAGTTGCAGAGAGTGATAAGGTCTCCCCTCAGTCTCGTCTTCTCCAGGCTAAACAGCCCCAGAGGCCTCAGCCGTTCCTCGTATGACACATCTTCTACACCCTTAAGAAAATCTGGACATGCCTGAATTTCCTGTGAGCAGTACTGTCACTGTATGGTCAGTTTTAAACTAGCAAAAACATTTAAGTTTCCTGAGGATAGAGAAGCCTCACAAAGAGCTGTGGATTGACTAGAGAGCTGGGCAATCACCAACCACATGAAATTCAACCACAGCAAGTGCCTCACTCTTCACCTGAGGCAGGGTAACCCTGGTTATACATACAGATCAGGGGACAAGAGGCTGGAGAGCAGCCCCACAGAAAGAGATCTGGAGGTCTGGGTTGATGGCAAGTTGAGTATGTGTCAACAATGTGCCCTGGCACCCAGAAGGGTCAACCATGTCCTGGGGTGCATCAAGCACAGAGCTGCCGGTCAGCTGAGGGATGTAATTGTGCCCTTCCACACTGTATTGGTGTGGCCCCCATCTTGAGTAATATGTGCAGTTTTGGCTGCCTGAATAGGACATAAAACTGTCAGAGCATGTCCACAGGAAGGTGACCAAGATGGTAAAAGGTCTTGAGGGCAAGACTTCGGAGGAGCATCTGAGGTCACTTGGTTTGTTCAGCTTGGAGAAGGCTGAGGAGTGACCTTATCACAGTCTGTAACTGCCACACAAGGGGCAGTGGGTTGGGAGGTGCTGATCTCCTCTCTGGTGACCAGCAACAGGACATGAGGAAATGGAATGAAGCTGTATCAGGGAAGTTCAGGTTGGATGTTAGGAAGTGGTCAAAATATCAAGCCTGTCAGAGCTCAAAGGGTGTTTAGACGACACTCTGAGTCACATGGTTTGAATTTAAGTTGTCCTGCGAGGAGCTGAGACTTAGGAGTCACTGATCCTTACAGGTCCCTTCCAATTTGAGATATTCTATGATTCGGAAATTATAGTAAGCAGAATCACGAAGGAAAAACACTGTTATGTACTGCATATTTCCTGGATGCAATGCAATGCCTTCTTCCCCTCGATTAATCGGTAAGAACACAACGCAGGGCACAGGCACGATGCTGAAGACGGACACCGCCGACGAATCGCGCTGCACGGGCGGCGAAAAAAAAGCCCGCCGCGCACTCACCCCAGCTGCACGATGAAGATAAACTGCACGAGGTGGACCGCTTTCAGAAGGTCGTAGGATTCGAACAGCCCCACAGCTTTCAGAAACTTGGTGAAGCACAGCAGTACGATGTACCGAGTCAGCCTGCAAAGGGGGAGAGGCCGGTCTGCACCTGCGACCACGCC